CGGTTTAGCCACCTGCCCTCCACACCCGGCTAAGCCAAGCCGGGGGCCACCCGGAGGTCCCCAAAGTGACTGATGCGAATCTCTTTCATTCTCGATTTACCTCAGGTGGCTGGAGCAGCTGCTGCTGTGCCGGGAGCTGGCTGCATAGGACGTAGATGACCAGGCCGAGAAAAGACAGCGGTAAAACCACCCGCAGAACAGGCGCCACGAGCAGGTGGCGCAGCCGGCGGGCATAGCCTTCTTCCGCCATCTCCATGGTGGTTTCCGCCTGTGCAGGCGCCTCGCTCAGGGTGGAAATGAACTACAGCGCTGGTAGCTCAGTGGCCCGAGCCTACTACGATTTGCAGAGGACTCACCACGCCCCACTGTGGGGAAGCCCCAGCCAAGGGGCAGGACTTGTGCTCTCCCAAGTGCAGGGAACTTCCCGTGGCCTCTAAAGGCCCCGCGGACCAGGGAGTTGCCTGTTTTCCATCTTCCCATGCTCACTCTCCATGCTCACCTTCCACTCATTCAACAACCCTCCATTGGAGTATCTACTATAGACCAGATTCAGTGCTGGGCACTGGGGCACGGCAAGCACCCAGATGGTGAGAGTAGAGGAGGGGTTCCCCAAACAGCCACGTGTTCCTCTCCATCTTCCCAGCCTCCCTGGCAAGTAGTGGGGCCACACCTGATGGGACCATATGACTCACCTGCCCAATAGTAACAGTGGTTCTCAACTTTCTGGCCCTTTAAATACAGTTCCTCATGTTGTGACCCAACCATAAAATTATTTTCATTGCTACTTCATAACTGTAATGTTGCTACTGTTTTGAATAGTAATGTAAATATCTGATATGCAGGATGGTCTTAGGCGACCCCTGTGAAAGGGTCGTTCGACCGCCGAAGGGGTCGCGACCCACAGGTTGAGAACCACTGGAGTAGAAGGAGATGAATTGTCCCTTCCTGTCTTATAAACACCCCACATTGCCCTTCAGTTCTCTCTTCCCTTTGGTCCTTGGAGTCCACCTGTTTTTTTGTTTGTTTGTTTGTTTGTTTTTATTTTTATTTTTTTTATGGAGCCTATGTTCCCAGTCCCACTGAGGCCACACTCCCTTATCTTCTGCCATCATTCATTCCCCTGTTGTGTCTGCTAGGAAATCTCACAAGCATGTCTGAGTTCACCGTGCATTTCTTTATACAGAAATCTTTTTTTAGGCTTCATGTAGTTGTAGAATAAGAACTATGCTGGTGAAACTAAAGTATTGGTCTTAATACAGCTGCCAGATTTTCTGTTTGAAAAAAATTTACTTTGCCCTGGCAGGCATTGCTCAGTGGTTAGAGTGTCAGTCCATATACTGAAGGGTCTCGGGTTTGATTCCCAGTCAAGGGCATGCGCCTGGGTTGCAGGTTCTATCTCTGGCCCCTGTTGGGACATGTGCGGGAGGCAACCAATCAATGTGTCTCTCTCACATGGATGTTTCTCTCTCTCTCCCTTTTCTCTCTCTCTCTTCCCCTTCCTCCCTTCTACTCTCTCTAAACATCAATGGAAAAAATACCCTCGGGTGAGGATTAACAACAAAACTTTTCGTTATAAAGTACTTCTCAGGAAATAAAAATAAGGCAGTGCATGGTGAGTTGGGTGTTAAATGATTGCCACTCATTTTTTAATGTGTCTTGTTGAGGGGTGTAATTTTCAGGTCTCAGAGAGACTAGGATTGCGAATGTCTCTGGACTGTGAACAGAGATGATGGTTAGGGTTGTACTGTGAGTATTGAGGCTCTTTTTGTGTATGATTACTTTTTGATACGGTTATTTGAAAGGAAGGTTAACTAAACTTAAGTTACCTAAACTTAGCCACATTTGTGAAATCTTCATCTCTGGAAAATTGAAGGATGACTTAGTTGAAACAAGATCCAGAAGCCTCCGTTTCAGCACATTCTCCAGTTTATAATGTTAAGGTTTAAAGAAAACTTAATCCAGGAAACCAGCATCCCTGAGACCTAATGAAGCAGTTTATATTTTTACTTTTTTTAAAAAAAAAACACAAAACGTTTTAGAAGCTTGTTGCCATGAAGAGTAAAACAAACTCATGCTTTTAATCTTGTCCGTTGACATTGCCAGTAAGAGTGTTATTGTTGTTAGATAATCATAATGGTATGTTCTGGAGGCCCTTCTCCCCTCACCCGACACACCCAGTTCCCTCACACCAGCCAGCAGAGCCAGAGAAAGAAGAAGAAAGCAGCGTCTTATTTGCTTTCAGAATCGGATTCTCTATTGCTTTGGAGACATGCTGGGATTTGCTCCTAAACTATTATTACATTTCTATGTCCATCCAGGTTTAGATTCATTCGTAGGAAGAACCATGTAAACAGAAGTGAACGGGTCAGGCCGTGTTGTGCGGAACTTGCCTGCAGGAGCCTGAGCTCAGCCTCAGCGTGAGGAGGACTGCGTTCCCCAGGCCGGGCTGGGAGAGGGAGTCAGGGCTGCCCCAGGGCCTCGCACGCCCCACGCCTGCACCAGCCTCAGTTTCTCACCACCTGCCCAGTCAATGCTTGTTTTCGGCATTAGATGTGGTAATGTTTAGAAAGATTTTTGAAAAAATTTTTTTTATTGATTTCAGAGTAAAAGGGAGATGGAGAAAGAGACAGAAACATCAATGATGAGAGAATCATTGATCAGTTGCCTCCTACAAGCCCCACGCTGAGGATGGAGCCCACAACCTGAGCAAGTGCCTGACCGGGAATCAAACAGTAACCTCCTGGTTCATAGTGACCTCCTGGTTCAGCCACTGAGCCACGCCGGTCGGCCTGCAAACTTTTTATAAAAGTATTTCACAGATGTAAAATACAAATGTTAGAAACTCAACCAGAGCTTACGTAGGTAAATGTAATTATGTGTGTGTGTCTGTCACTATGTATGGGGACACCGGTAATTCTGGGAAAGCTTTTAGTCACTTCTGGATGGAGCCCCAAGTGAAAAATATGCAGGGAGACCAGTTCAGCAGTTTCACGAAGTTTAAATAAAGTGAGAATTGGAAATCTCCCAAGACAAGCAGAGGAGGTAAGCGGGGTCAGACCCCTGCTCCGGATGATGGTAAGATTAGTGACTGATGCTATGTCCCGGGTCAAGAAGAAACACAGAGCTAGTGACGACAGCTGTCCTGACATTCGTGCACTGTGTGGTTACAGGCTGGCCTCATAGGAGCGGTAGGGACGAGTAGACGAACATACCTGAGGTGGGTCCATTGAAGGACTGTGCGGGTGAGGAGTCCCTGGATGAAGAAGGGCCCTGCTCTGATTCCACAATGGGGCCTTTTATGTCCGGGGTCGTGGGGAGTCTGCCGCATGCGTGACGGACTCTCGAGGTATGAGTTTGCAGGAGAAATGTCCGTAAGTTGTACTTATTCTCAGGACTCAGAAAGCAGCAGAAGTAACTGGGGCTTGCTCAGTGCCCTATATCCTCGGTTTCATTCCATTTGCTCTCCTCTGTGGCCTCTCCAGCTCCCAGGCCTGGACAGGTGGGAGTCACAGGAAAGTAAAATGAGGTGGTTTCCCAGGGGTAATGCCAGTGGTAGCCAAGTGACAAAGACATACCGTATCTGGGTCCCTACCTCTCAACCATGGCCCTCACAGCGCACATCCCATTGAAGGCTCATTGTGTGCATCTTTCTGATATTTCTCAATTCCTGATATTAATGCTTACTGATCATTGGTTATGTTGGAAGCCAGGGGTGGGGAACCTTTTCCTGCTGTTTGTTTGTTTTTAAAATATATTTTTTTATTGATTTTTTACAGAGAGGAAGGGAGAGGGATAGAGAGTTAGAAACATCGATGAGAGAGAAACATCGATCAGCTGCCTCCTGCACACCGCCCACTGGGGATGTCCCCGCAACCAAGGTACATGCCCTTGACCGGAATCGAACCTGGGACCTTTCAGTCCGCAGGCCAATGCTCTATCCACTGAGCCAAACTGGTCAGGGTGAGTCCACCTGTTTTTGTTGTTAATCCTCACCCGAGGATATATTAAATTTTTTTTTAAAATTGATTTCAGAGAGGAAGGGAGAGGGAGAGAGAGATAGAAACATCAATGATGAGAGAGAATCACTGATTGGCTGCCTCCTGCACGCCCCCTACTAGGAATCATATGCCCTGACCGGGAATCGAACTGTGACCTCCTGGTTCATAGGTTGATGCTCAATCACTGAGCCACACTGGCTGGGCATCAAGGATTTTTTTCTATTAATTTTTATAGAGTGGAAAGGAGGGAGGGAAAGAGGGAGGGAAAGAGGCAGAGTGTTGAGTGTGTGTGTGTGTGTGTGAGAGAGAGAGAAAGAGAGAGAAGTATTGATGTGAGACACATTATTGCCTCCCAAATGCACTGCAGGCAGATGGAACCTGCAACCCAGGTACATGCCCTTGACCAGGAATTGAACCTTTGGTGTGTGGGTCAACATTCTAACCACTGAGCAACACTGGCCAGGGAAAGTCAACCTGTTTTTGATGGCTGTAGTGTGTTGAATAGTGTCTGCCTCTTCCAATTTGTGTCTTTCCAGAACCTTGGTGTGTGATTTCATTGGGCAGTGCGGTCTTTGCAGGTGTAATTAGGCCAAGATGAGGTCATAATGCATTAGGGTGGGTCCTAAATCCAATGATTGGTGTCTTTATAGGAAAAGGAGAGGATACACTGAGACAGAGGCAGATGGCCATCTGACATCGAGGCAGAGATTGGAGAGATGCATCTACAAGTCAAGGAATGCCAAGGATTGCCTCTGCCAACAGAAGCTAAAAATAGAGCCACGATCAGCCAAGACTGATTTCCTTAAGATTTACCAGAACATAACTTAGAAATTAAGCCACGAAGAAGTGGTTAATATCCCTTAGAAAAACAAAACAAATATGGGCAGCCAGGTTATAAAAAGCAATGCAAATGCATTGGAACACAGTCTCATTCTTATTCAGAGAATTGAAAAGAGAATTGGAGGCTGAGATTTGAAATGGATCCATTTGGAGGCACAGTTTGGGGAAATCAATCAAGATACCAAAATATACATAACCTTCCACCCAGCAATTTTACTTTAAGTTTATTTTATCAGTGCACTTGCATGTTGTCACAAACACAGATGTCACAACATAAACATTCAATAGGGTGTAATCTGTAGTAACAAAGACGGGGAAAAACCCCCCCCCGAATCATTTGTTAGTCAA